AGCAGGTAGAAGGGAACAGAGTCATTCTTGACTGGGGAACTTAAGGTGTGCAGCCACGTGTCCTCACCTAAGCTGGGGAAGGTCAAGGACATAGGCCTTGGGTCCAGGTATTCCTCACTCTGAACTCATTACCATTACTGTCTGCCAGACCACTGTGACAATTTCAGGCATAAGGATTCCAGGGGAAACAAAATACTTTGTTTTGAGACAAGATGTATGTCCGAGGGTTTTTCTGACCATGTAAGCCTATCTAAGCTGGAAATGATTTCAGGAAAGGGAAATGTGTTTTGTATCCATCTTTTGGCTCCCTTTACCACTAAATGTAATTTCCAAAGGAAATTAAGATTTAATAAACTGTAGTCTTGTTTTTTTCTATCTTTTATGTTACTCTCCCAAATAGATACAATGTTTTAAAAAGCTAATGATTCAAGGAGGGTGCCTGATAGCCTTTAGATTCCCAGGTAAATGTTTCACAACTGATCTAATTCATAGGAGGAAAACATTTCTTGTGGTGGGGTAGAGAAACACACAAGAATGCATATGCATTCTTACACTCACTCATCCTTTTTATGAGAACCATGAATCTACCCAACTATATTACATGTGTGAGCCTCGAAACACAACATCCTCTTTAGCAACCACGAGTGGCCAGTGATACGGACATTTCCCATGTCACCTGTCTCGGGGTCATGTGCTGCCCACCAGCTTCTAGGTGGCAGGCTTCATGTCACTATGGTAGATGTGCAGGTGGTTTAGGACAGGCCGCAGTCCAAGAAATGAGACTGTACTTCCCGTCCCAGTGGGGAGAAGTAGGAAGCACTTGTTAAATTCATGGGAAGTGAGTTTAAGTACATTGTCTCCCAAGGATTACTGAGAAGAACCAGGAGCCATCCCCTGTGCCTGGCAGGTGCTAGAAGGCAGGTCCAGCTGCAAGTACATGAAGTATAGTGCAGCAGGCATCTACCACAATTGAAGGATACAGCACAAACAAAGCTTAAATATACACGAGAAAAGCTTTTGTGTAAATGGAATAGCATTATTACTTTAGTTTTGGTTTGTTTGTTTTGTTTTGTTGGTACTGGGGATCAAACTCAGTTCCTTGCGCTTTCAAGGCAGGAGGCGGAACCACTGAGCTAAATCCCTAGCCCATTACGTTTGTTTTAATGGGAGAGTATAACAGCTAGTACATCGTTTTTCTTCACTTCCCACTTCTCCCTCTCCTCTTTTATGTGCTTTCCCTATACCTGCTGGCATTACTGACACCCAGACCTGACAACACACCACACACACACACACACCACTATCCTGTCTCAGCAACCCAGTGTGATTCCTTTTGTTCCTTTGTACATTCTATCCTGTCTTCAATCAGACATTTCTGAATGTGTAAAAAGGGACAGTCTATGTGAAATTCTGGTCAACAACTAAAGGAAAGATCAAGGAAAGTAATTTACAGCCTCCCATTTTATCAATCTCAAATCAAGGTGCGCTCAGCTAACACTATGAGGCACATGGATTTGACTGCTGAATCCTGAAATGCTCTTTTCTAAATGGTGCACTGCAGCAGATTTCCCTCCATTTGTTCACTTTTTCCAGCCAGGCCCCGGAATATTTCAGAACTACGGGCCAGAAAGCCACCTGTGCATCCCTCCTGGCAACCTGAAGGCGGCCCTCACCTCCTGCAGCACCCCTCTTCATGCTGTGTAGATGCCCTGTGAAGGGGCAGCTCTTGGCTGTATCTTCCAGGACACCCCACCTTTATGTAGAGGAGAAGGATGTTCTTCAACCAGCTGCTCCTCCACCTGTGCTCAGCCTGCAGGGGCAGCTGTGGCCTAGTCAAGGTCCTGACAATGCCGACACTGCTTTCCTAGGCCTTGGTTTTACCCAAGAGGTGGATGAGCTCATGGAATTGAGAGCCCGTAAGAACAACAGCACTAAATTTGACTCACAAGGTGATGCAGTTCACAAATTGTAGTAACTCTAGGCTCCCTTTGTATCTTGAACCTATTTCTATTTTGCATTTATCATCAAGGAATATAATAATTAAAACTGTCTGCCTTAGAAGGCTGGGACCATGGCTTAAAATTTTTTTGAGCATCCTTTTCCCTGTCCATTGCTGGGAATATGTCCAATAAAGGCCAGCTGGATCAACACACTCAAATGCAGGAGAGTACTTAATCATTAGCATTCATCGGGCCCTTAAACATCCGAAGTTGAAGAGGGTGGACAAGTGCAACGAGAATTCAGAATGGAAAGAAGAAATGAGGTCTCCAATAGCCAACCATGCCATTGTCTAGGAGGCCTCAGCTACTGGGTCGGAGGGGAGGGGAGGAGGGGTTGTTTTTCTTTTTATGCACTAAGAATTCATTTACCCTCTCTATTTGGCACTAGAGAACTTCATATTTATAAGGCATTGTGCAGAATGGCAGGGAAGATAAATGAGACGCACTGATGTTAGGTCAGAGGACGGAGAGAGCGAGTACTCAGGCTTTGTCATTCCCCTGCTGAAACTCCCCGCGGTAGCCACTGCCCTTGAAATGAGACCCACACCCTTAAGGGAGTTGCACGCTCAGCTGCTCAGCCTCTTCCCATCTCTCCATCCTCGCCTCCTGGTGCCCTGTCCCTTACTCCACACAGGCTCGTGGACATCATTTTTGTCCTTAAACACAGCAAATCCTTTCTAACTTCAGGGCCTTGCCTTCAACTCAAAGGCAGCCTCTTTCTCGATCACTTAGCCCACAGCTAACCGTTCCTTCTTCAGGCCAGTATCATCCTCACTCACTCACCCTGCCGTCACCAAGGTGCAGTTTCTTGATAAATTATTTCACTGAGAAGTTACCTTGTTTGCTTCCTTGTATAATCATTTTCTGTTCCCTTCTCTTCTCCTGTGCCCTCCCCAGTGCATGGGAGGGGAGGGCTTCCTGAAAGCAGGAAGCTTCATCTGGCCCAGCCACCACTGGTCTCATGCCCAGCACATGGCCCAAACGCTGTCAGCTGTCAGATTCCCAGCAAGTATAGGCTTGTCTTGGGAGAAAACAAGAAAGATTTGCCAAGAAGTGTAATGGCTGAAAAGTTTCCTGCGATCAGGGAAGGCAGTTAGGTCTCGCACCAGGACTTTAGACTGTTGGAACAGACTGTGAGAAGAGGCACAAAAGTGGGGCTGGAGGAGTGGAACCACCCAAGAGCTTCTGTCAAGAATAGGAGTTAAGAGCTACAAAGCAGAACTCACATGCCAGTGCCATCGCTTACCACACGTGCAAACCAGGCAACGACCTCACCTTCCTGTGCTTCCATTTCTTCATTTGCAAACAGAGCCAAAACTCTCTTCCTCAGGTTAGTGTGAGAACTGAGTGAGTCGTTCCATGGCAAATGCCTACTGGCTCTGCAAAACGGCTAAGCATTCTTGCTGAGTCACTGAAGGTTCGAGGAGTATAGTAATGAAGTCAGGTTTGTTTTAGGAAGGTCATCAAGATGGCCAGTACAGAGATTGGCTGAAGGGCCCTGAGAAATCGGTAAAGGAAATAACTTTAGGAAAGATGGATCCCAGACAAGGAGGGCCATGAGGACGATTTAAGAGTTGCTAAAGCAGTGACTCATTCATCAGTTTGGGGAAGGCAGTTAGGGAATGGCTGGTGGTGCCATTGGCCTCACAGGAGATACAGGAAGAGGCCCAGGCTGGGGAGCCAGGGTGGGGAGGAAAAACAAGCTGTCTATTATATGTAAGAGTTCACGCCCAGTCCATTTGCCCATTTGTGAGGCAGACTTTCCAAAAGAGCTTGGGAGAAATGCACACATACTGGGTTTTTGTTCTTGTTTGTTTTGTGACAGGGTCTCACATGTAGTTGGCCTTGAACTCACTATGTAGCTTAGGCTGGCCTGGAACTCTCGGAGATCCTCCTGCCACAGCCTCCCAAGCACTGGGATTACAGGCACATACCACACATACTGTTGAACCCATTTACCACATGTGTTTTATAATCCTAGGAATCCTGCCTATTCTTTACTTATTTTGTATCCATAGATCATGCTATAAAGCTATTCGGTCAGAAAATTTGATTGAGGTTGGAACCAAACCTCTGTAGCTACAAGTTTCTCTAGACATAGGTAAAGAGAACCACCCACACCTTCTAAACTCAGACATTTAATCCAGTTCCAGTGATAATGGCAAGTTTTAAGCTACCAGAATTGGAACGCAGCTAGTATTTGTACTGTCAGAACTGTGGACTATAGAGGAAAAACAGTGTCTCAGTCAAACAAGTTAGGGACGCCTCATGTTTTACATCTTCCCTTCAATATTCACAATAAAAAGTCAACTAACTTAGCACTTCCCAAATTTATTTGGCCACATGTCATAGCTTAACACCCTTTTAGAAGAGTCCAGTCTGCTTACAAATGTCCAGAAAACTAAGCTTCTTGCAGAGGTAACACAGCCAGGGGTGACAGAACCAGCATGGCCTCCATGAAGGGTTAACAGACTCCCTCAGAACGGCTGCGTCCCTGGATCGACAGCAGTGGCCTCAAATGGGTTTTCAAAATTATTTTTTTCCTTGGAATTCATTTAAAGAACTACTTACAAAGTATCTAGGATCCTAGTTTAATTCAGAGGTTTACCCCTCAGCAGGTGGAAAATGTGCTAATTGGTCCGTTCACTTTAGTAGTACTCTATTCGTGTGCCTCAGAAATGGAACCTAAATAGTATGCATGATGGAGGACAACACACTCCTCCATCGTGGAGGCCAACTCACACGCGGTGTGAGGCGTGGGGAAGGAAGGATGCCCATGAGCAATCAAACAAGTAGATTCCTAATTGCAAACAATGATATACGCGCTACGAAGAAAATCAGCTGCGTACCGTCAGGTTGGGTTCAAATTTGCAATCATTTTTTAATTGACCCAGATTCAGATGGAATCAATACCAGCTGTTTTTTATGGTTACTATGGCGCTCGGCCCTTCACTACTGTTTGAAGCGCGTTAATAGCCTCTCCCCTTCTTGTTTTTCCAGCCCAGCGCCACAAAATGAGAGCCCAGTGAGCCGGCCGCGCCCTCGCCCAGCCTTCTCCCACGCCCACCATGAACCAGTTGGAGGGCTCCGCGGAGGTGGAGGTGCCCGACGAGGCGGCCGCAGGGGAGGTGAACGAGTCGGTGGAGGCCGACCTGGAGCGCCCCGAGGTGGAGGAG